ATCGGAGTTGACTGTCCTTCTGAGGGACAAAACTGAATCACGGCTCACGCTATAAAAAAATATTCACGCCTCATGGCTAATTCTTTCGCATTTTCACGACTAACGGCTAATTTTTCAGCCGTTTCACGGCCCTCGGTTAACCCCATTGAGACCCTCTTGGTCGTATTATGGATGACGGGGTGGTCGTTAGACTGTACTAAAATCATAGTTAACCCTCGGAATGGTTTTTTTTGTGCAATCTGTGACTGGAGGGACCGGTTCGGCCTCCCCTCAATATCTTCGGAACCAATAGGTCTATGAGCATGAAATTTTCGATCACACAATGGTCGCACACGTAAAACGTACCACCACACTTAGTGACACCACACTTTTATGCAATCATAGCACGGTTTCCCATAACAATTTTTTTACTAGTAATTGTTATTGATGACTTACGATCGCGAGTTATCAGGTTATCATTCCAATGTATGCGGAACTAGTTGTTGGGAAACATGTATGGAAAAGCATTCCCACAAAGTTATCTTCTTTCTCTGATGAAATCTTAACGAGGTCGCCTCCAAAGGACAAGCATCTCTTGCAGGCTTCGCACCAACTGTTGATTAGTTTGGGCGATACTTTGTAACATGATGGAGATCCTTCATAGCTCGCCCAACCCTTAGGGCATGGATCTACAAAAAAAGTATCCAAATCATAGAGCAAACGCAGGAAAACCACGATACTGACAATTTGCCTCTAAATAGCCACTATTTGATAGTATTTAGCTTGGTTATATTTCATGGTTTTCCTACGTTTGTTCTATATAAATCAAGAGACTAGAGTTACAACGATATCTATGAAGTGCGACTTACAATTTTTAACAGTAACAGTTTTATTTATGAATCATCATTATTTACATGAAGCTTGCCCTCGCAGTTAGTCAAAGACTATTCGAGGCGAGGGCGATAATGAAGGAGAAAAACTAGTAGAAAAATGTCAAAAAATTCACAGTTTGAGTACGTATAGTATTATCGATGGAGCGAGGAGAAGAGAAGGACTTTTGGCTACCAAGGGCCGAGAAATTATGGGGCTCAACCATTGTTGAAGCAGTTGAAGTGTTACCAACATGATATAGTGTCCGGTGATTGGGGAGCCTTGGCTTCAATTGACTGGTGCATTGAATTTACATGTAGTGACTGAACTTCTGATTGTCGATCAGCACAATGTGCATTATACTTATAGGTGATACGATACATGGATGTCGGGTTGAGACGATTCATCAGCATCTCTTATTGCAACTATGTTTGCTTTCAGCAAAAAAAACAACATGTTATTTACAATCAGCACTAGACCAGGGTCTTAATGGGGGGTCTTAATGTCGGTAGTCAGTTAAAATTTCAAGCATTTGTCGCTAGTCAGTTAAAATTCTAGGCATTTGTCGGTAGTAGGCTATTTAAAAAACGTTGTGCAAAGGCACTTAAACTCAAGGAAATCGGCTGAAACTTCGTCAGAGGATTGCACAATACATCAATAACAACATGTTTGAGTTTTGTTTCGATTTATTGAAATTCAAGCGAGAAATTCTCGATTCAATAACACCATATAAACTCTTCAAAATATCGGTAAATATAGAGGGGAGGGGAGGGGTGGTGTACATAAGAACCACTGATAAAGGGCCTGTGCTCCCTGTGCTTCAAGAAGACAATCCGAAGCGGAAAATTTCGAATGTAGTTGCTTGAAAAATTAAAAAAGCTTGTATTCACGGAGCTAACATCTTTGAATATTGGAAAATGTCGCCAGTCAGTAAATTTGTTAATGTTGGTAGTCAGCAAATTTGGTTCAAATTTGTCGCTAGTCAGTAGTTATATTTTGTCCATTTGTCGCTAGTCGGTTAACCCCATTCAGACCCTGAATCAGGACCAGTACAAGCAGCAGCGTATTTCTCTTAGCCATTTCTCTTGATGGAAGAATAAGCTGAGCCTTAATGGAAACAGTGTGTCTTCTTATTTCAAAGCTATCTACTCCAACTAATGGGACTCAACAGTTATAGCGAAAAGAGTATCTCTTTTCCCATCGCCCCTTAGTAATCTTGTCCTTTGATTACCCATGATTCATCATCAAGCGTGAAGTCATCTATTATAGTAAGAGGGGAAAATAATTCATAAAAGTTCTGAAAATTGCTCCAGATATTACCGGTAACTATAATAATCCACACAGCAAGTTACAGAGAAATTTAATGTATCTGTATGCTATAAATCGACTGTTTACATAGTCTCACATACCCTGTTCAAGACAAATCGGAAAAATAAGGAATCGGTATCTACGCCGCAACCATCAAAACTGTAGTTATACTGACAACACGTTAATCCTGTTACAGTGAAACGTTATTTCTCCTATTTCTAAGGCANCAATCCGAAGCAAAATTTATTTTTTCCGCGGAAAATTTCGAATGTAGTTGCTTGAAAAATTAAAAAAAGCTTGTATTCACGGAGCTAACATCTTTGAATATTGGAAAATGTCGCCAGTCAGTAAATTTTTAATGTCGGTAGTCAGCAAATTTGGTTCAAATTTGTCGCTAGTCAGTAGTTATTTTGTCCATTTGTCGCAAGTCGGTTAACCCCATTCAGACCCTGAATCAGGACCAGTACAAGCAGCAGTGTATTTTTCCTAGCCATTTCTCTTGGTGGAAGAATAAGCTGAGCCTTATAAAGAAACAGTGTGTCTTCTTATTTCAAAGCTATCTACTCCAACTAATGCCCCCAACAGTTACACTCGCGAAGTCAAGTTATATGCTAGTCTGGCTATGACCTCCTATCAGTTATTTGCTGAACTGTAGATCGAAAACGAATTGTTGAAAGGTGTAAAGGTTTATTATCAAAAACATACTAGCACAAGAAAACCGCTATTTGTGTTGGCCTAATGTGCTTGGAGAAATTCCCCGTTGTGGACATTCCACCAGTAGCGGATCCAAACTGTTACAAAAATATCAAAAAGGCTGAGGTGAAATTGAATTTTACGAGGAGCGCTTCCTTCGTTGTTTTTCAAAATGTATCGGATCCCATTCAGATTATTGTTATTTATTTTATTTTGTATTTACTACATTATTTTTTCTATTTCATTTCATTTCTCAACACCAAAATGTGGGTTGGCTAGCCACCTTAATTTATCTCACATGGATCCATCCTTGCATCCTTTCTCCCACAGAACGTACGATAGCTGCCCACTATCCATGAAATCTTTTGTTCCGCTGTTACATGTTTGCAAGCATTTTTCCCATTTGTAGGCACACATAAAGGAGTTGTTAATTTTCTTTTTCTTACCGAGTATGCATAGTAAACAAAGGACGAGCCCTTAGCTAAGTACTTAAGGGCGATCGGAGGAGCAAAAAAAAAAAAAAAATATTGAGGAAACTGACTTCCGTGTCCTGGGACCTTGGCTTATCTCCAAATTCCAATGCCTTGCATCAGGAGCCGAGTCATTTGTTCTTGATAAAATTGCAAACGGAATCAAGGAATTTCAATGATCATCACTCGACCCCGTTTTGGATAGGTACGTACCGCCAGCGGTCTAAAACCCTGACCCTGTTTAAGACACTAGAAAGTAAGATCCATACCCTGTTCAAGACAAATCGGAAAAATAAGGAATCGGTATCTACGCCGCAACCATCAAAACTGTAGTTATACTGACAACACGTTAATCTTGTTGAGTGAAACGTTATTTCTACTATTTCTACGGCATTTCTTACGAAAATATTACCCTGTCCAAGACACACAAAAAAATCATCTCGGTCTTTTATCTAAATGGTGAAATGTATACCCTGTTTAAGACAGGAAGGCCAAAAACCATACCCTGGCCAGCGGCACGTCCCCGTATAGCAAATATA